TACCACTCCAGTTGCTGAGAGATTTTTCACCAGTTCTACCTCTCTGACTCTAAAGCATGCTGCATGGTATCCAAGTGAAATACTGGATCCCCACATAGTGCTGTTAACATCAGACAACGTAATAAGGTAAATTTTATTTTTCTCTCTCTTGAAGCCTTGCAAGTGGGAAAGCTCTGTTTCTGTTTGCCGATTAACAGCTCAACATAAAACAAAGTGAGTCATTGAATGAGTCTGCTTTTATCTGATGGCTGTTGTAACCCATTCTCAATCATAAGAATCACCTAACTGCCCTAACTTACGTGCCTTACTTACCACTATTCCTTCTCAACTAGTCTTCCTGCCTCCAAGTATCTCCTTTCCTAATCTGACACATTAGAATAATCTTTCCAAAACTCTTTCATCATGTCACCTTTTGGTGATAGTGTAGCATAAAAGACAGAGAATATAAGTATACATTCAGAGATTTGAATTCTTGTCCCACCTCATCTTCTGTTATCTTTGAGATCTTGAGCTTCTTTTTAGGGATGGAGGTGGCTCAGTTTCCAATCTTTTAAGTTGAGCAGGTTTGATTCAATAGTTTCTAAAGCCTCTTCTAAGCTTTGCACTCTATTATTAAATGCCCTAATGCTATGTAGATTTCTACTATATTATCAGTTAACTTTCTGGATCGTTAATTGGGAGGACTCAGCAGAAGTACAGATACCTTCAGTTTTATTTTTCTTAATCACTGCTTTTAACTGTGCTCTACTAAATCTTCCTTCACTGCTGAACGGCTCCCCCCTTAATGGTGTCTTGTACAGATCCCCATAGCTTTCTTGTTACTTCTAGTTATGAAAACAGTGTGTCCAGTTTAAAACTCCAATCTTGGCCAGCTGTAGTGGCTCACACCTGTAATCCCAGCATTTTGGGAGGCCGAGGTGGGAGGATCACTTGAGCCCCTGAGTTTGAGACCAATGTGGGCAACACAGTGAGATCCTGTCTCTGCAGAAAAATTAGCTGGGCATAATGGCATGTGCCGGTAGTCCTAGCTACTCAGGAGACTGGGATAGGAAGATTGCTTGAGCCCAGGAGTTTGAGGCTGCAGTGAGCCATGATCATACCACTGGGTAACAGAGTGAAACCCTGTCTAAAGAAAATAAAAATTTCAAAAGCTATTTGATCTCAAATCTATTTCACAACTATGTCCTGGCCCTTTTGTAGGTCAGACCTGTGTTTTGTGGGATCAGAAGCGATTGGAGAGTGTGTGGTCTGCTCTTTCACTCTTCCTCTTATCCCAACACTTTGGAGCATAGGGTGAAGTGTAAGGAATGGGCTGCCTCCTCCTTCCTCCAAATCTAACTCCTTCAGTGTGGGGTAGGGGAGTGGGATAGGTGAGGTAGAGATCTTACCAAACTGGTAGTGATGGGGAAGTAT